ATGCATCTCCATAAAATTGCATCTAAAACCAGAATAAGGCCGATATGTGTAAATACTTGTACACTAATAGTCTGGTCTATGCAGCCAGCAATAATGAAATTGTAAGAATGGCATTGGCAAAATGATGACCTCAGATGTAGCCATGTCTAGGACATGGATATGATTTATAGTCTTTGCCCATTAATGTAATGTTAGTGTCTATGAAGTATGTGATCATGACTAATCTTCATGGTCATTTGTGACCACGCCATTGATTATTCGGCATAGGCTACCACGCACTATAATATTTAGCAAAAAGTCATGCAAGAAATTGTATTTCATTCACCACATTGGCATGGCTGGCGGTACTCATTCTTATTTTTTCATGACTATTGTTTGGCCCACCACAATTTTCTTGTGATTTAGGTGGATTTTTGTCACAAGCAAGAAACGGCAAGAGCTGCAATGTGTACATCAAAAAAGCTCTTATCATGCTTGTGATGTTGCTATTGTAGGTAAATGGCCACAGCAGGAATGTACATAACTGTCATTTATTAGGCAGAAACTGATAGGGACCAATTCCTTGTGCTGATGTCTACATACACATGTACATCAGTGAAAGTTTTGCTGTCGCCAACTGCCATTCTTGAAATGGTGCCACCGATCAACAGTTCATGCCACTCACCTCAACCTTAAACAATGACATGTGTTGTCATTCGTTATTAAGGCCAAATTTTATTTTTATGGAAATGAGTTACCTTTTTCTAAAATGAACAAAAGTTGATATTAATATCATCATGTAAAAAAATAATTGTATTTGATGTAGACTGAACATGTTGGGGGGAAAAATAAATCTAAAATAATAAAATCCCTGCCTAACTACCCAATATTTTTTACCCTAATACCGGAAACACCAAATTTGTTTTTCATTGGTCTCATGGTCCTCATTAACATGGTCCGCATAAATAATGAGGGATGAACTGGTATTCTGTACAAACAGGTCCTTGCAGTTACATTCTATGTTTCTGGTTTGATGTTGACTCATTTACAGCCCTGTCATTGGTGATACCAGGATTTTACTCCTTACAGCATGTGTGTCTTATGCAAACCAACAATGCTGTCTTTGCACATGGTCAATTCACTCCGGTTATATGTCAGATGGCACATTGCTATTTCCATGCGATGAATTCATTACTTTTACGGGTTCTATCAGTCTGATGGGATTGATATCATCAATGATATTCCTATGAAGTACAATTACATTCCATATAGTCTCGTTGTACCTACTTTATTTCCTATTCATTCTGAATGGACAGTTGGATGAACATACAATAGCCTAAAACTAAGGGGGGGTATATTTGTACGACACCCTGTAACTTTGCATGATATGGGTCTATAATACTGTCTTGTACAATGTTGTAAACAGTTAACTACTGGTTTTGTACACTTTATTGTTGCTGCACATATACAAACAACAAGATATAATATTTTCATGCCACTATCTTCGTATTGAGACAGATAGAAAAAAAATGTAGATAGGAGTAAACGCATTTGCTTGCTTTGTAACAGTAACAACATTGAAAATGAATACCATTTTTTACTTATTTGTTCCTTTTTTGTTAATTTAAGAATAAAATATATTCCTGCTAACTTTTTTTATCCCCCAACAGTCAGTAAATATAACAAATTAATGGCTACAAAAAATACAGATCTTCTTCAAAGACTGGGAGCCTTTACTTTTCACGCCATGAAATTGCGAAAACAGCTACAATTTTATTTTTAAATATAAAAAAATGTATGTAGATATTATGGGCCGATGGCCTTCTATTATAAATAAAGACCATATATATAATATTTTCGGCAATATGACTACTACCAAATTGGTTGTCGGTGGTGATACTTATCATTTGGGTCTTCGGTCAACTCTTATGCGCTTTTGCACCACGAGTCGTTTCATGCACATCATACCAGATTTAATCATGACACTCTGTTTACAACACTAATTTACCTCATTATAATGTAAATGTGCATAACCTGTGTTTATTTTCATTGAGAGGATGCTTGAATGCACGGTAGTGCTTTCAGCATCCTCTCGCCAGTTACTTACAATGTGCAAGATTTAATTATGGAAAGTAATTTCCAAAGCATTGTAAATAATTTCCAAAGCATTGTCTATTTCAACAATGTTCTTCCTATTGAACATTCCTCTACTCAACACGTTACTCAAATCATTCATTACCTTTATATAATCCTTACACTTACTTGTTTTTTATTTTCTTCCAGGCGAGATAATTCAACCATCACCTGTACCTCCTACTGGTTAAACCTGACAATTATTTTTACTTTATTCTTACTTGAATGTTTTTTGTAAACTTGTTGTTTATTGTTGGTTAAGATAAAAAATAGAAACTTTATTATTTCCTTGTTCATTACAGACAATTATTTTATTCACATTATTTTTACATGGTTGTCTTCCAACTAGTCATGCTAGTGATGTCTAATAGCAACTGGCCAAATTACAATCGAGTGGTGGGTAGGTCACAGTCAAGTACAAATAAGCCATTCACTGCCAAAGAAAAAATATAATCATTCTTTCCGATCAAGTACTTTAACCTCCCCCTCTTGATTCAAATGACATAACCAACAGTCTTAAGACATCACCTACTTCCTATAACACACAACACCATATTCATATAATTGTTCATACATGTATACATTGTCACAGCAAAATTAATTCCATAAATTTACCAATGGCTCAAGCAAATCATTTGCCCATATTAACTATAGCCTCTTTTGTAATCCATCTAATACTTTTGTCTTGTGTTTCAATTACATAACGTTAGTCCAAAAATGTCAGATTCTATTATTTGAACACTCAAGGGAAACACAATCCCATTATCAAGGTCACGTTTATATTGCGCTGGTCCCGCTAACTCTGGATTTAGACAAATCACTACACGTCATGCCATAGCCACGTAAGCCACTGCTCCCTGAACATTTATTTGCTTTTAAGCAGCTCTCAAATCTAGACAACGAGTTAGATTCCACTATTTGGGCTTGCTTGACCATCTGTTTCTTTTCATTTCTTCGCAAAACATTGTGCCTCCTTCTCGCTATAAATTACCACCTCATGAACACTTGAAACGGTCTGACATTGAATTCTCCATTAAGGGCCTACTTATTCACAGTGGGCCAAAACCCGCCAACATCACAACTATGTGCATACCATTGCCCTTTCTAGGCTACCTCAATCCTGTCTTTGTCCTGTTAGAGCATATTGCAACATGATTTGCCTTGTTTAAGCCCCACCCTGTGCACCAGCCTTTGTCTACCACCAGGCAGGCAAACTGATAACACTAACTCACTTATTAGCAAGTTTAAGCAACTACTATCTGCGACAGATTTCTCAACACAACAGTATTCACTACATAGCCCTAATATCCTCCGCAGGGGAGGGGCAATATTCGCTGATATTTTCGGTGTCCCAGGCCACTTAATACAAGCACAGGGAAATTGGAAGTCAATGGTGTAGAAAGTTTGCATTCCGATTCCCCCCAATCATCATTTCTATTTAACACAAGCTATTGGGAAAATAATATTAAATAATTAGCACTACAGTTCAATTTGATCAGTTCCCCCCTTTTGTTTTTTACATGCTGTACATTGCACATTTTTTTACATTCTATTTGACCTCATTTTAAAATTGTTATCGATTTATTTATTCATTTTTTTCCCTTTACTTGTTTCGCAGCAGTTTCGCTTTGGTGTAATGTTTGTGTTTTAGTTTGTTCCGTGATAAAACATTGCCTTCTCTGCCAAACAGGTGTTGCATTTTTGTTGTTGTTATTTTAGCAGTACCAAATTCTGTAAGAAATCATCTGTATTTTTGTTTAATTTACTATGGCTTTGTTTGAGCAGGTCGCCCCCAAGAGTTCAGTTTTTATATTCATCTTGTGTTTTCTTGTACAGCGCCCCCAGTGGGCTCGTTCAACACCAGTCAGCCATTTTGCTGTTTTCTCCACGCTCGTCAGTCACAATTCTGTCAGCCACCCACCCAATATTTAGCTTATTCTATAATTTATGTGACAGTTTTCGCTTTACCTTCTGTTTCACCCTAGTTTACCCTTTTTATTACAATTTGGTGTAATCATTGTGTTTTAGTTTGTTCCGTAACAAAGCATTGCCTTCTCTGCCAAAATGGTGTAGCATTTTTGTTGTTGTTATTTCAGCAGTAGCAAATTAACTCAAAACTTCAGTTATAAGAAAATCTTTTCAACATTGTTTTAGTAGAATATTTCTTTCTTTTAATGACTGCATTCTGATTTGGTATATAGTTCTGCTATTTACAGATATATGACGTTCATGCTTGATTTTCCCGGGAAAAATCCTACCAGCCATTTTTGAATTAATAAATATAATAAGTCAACTGTCAAAATGAGATCAAAGGTCTGAATAATTAAAGACCGCCAATTCTTCCGATGTGCTAAATACATAGACAAAACGAAACGAAAGGAATTATACACGTTCTATGACGTATTTTCGTTTCGATCCCCTTACGTTCACTTTTTTTGTCTTTATTGGCTGAGCGAAAGCGACGAAAGATTTGCATATTTTTCTGTTCCTTCCAAAAATTGTAGCGCCTCGTTCTGATTATATATTCATCATGTCATTACACATGTGAACGGTGAATCAACTGTTTTGGACAGCTTTCGTTTCATTCGTTTTATGTCGTCCGTTCATTTATCAATTTCGGTAATTTACGATAATAATTATGTCCATAAAGACAAACCATAAGCGCTAACAAATGATATGTTGTATTTCTGTCGTGATTGATTGTCTTTCTCACGCTAGGTGTTGAATGACCGTACTCGTGACATCATTGTTTACAACTCTGTTCTCCTTCCTGTCCATTGGTAACATTGTGTAAAAACAAAGGACAAATTGTGTAAGGACAAATCGACAAATGAATGTTTCATTTTGAATCTGTTGGATGGTGCTTACTCACATGAATAAAAAAACAATGCAGTTTTCAACATTTATTTTACAACTTTAACCTTTCCATCAAGAAATATAACATCCATTATTATATCCAATGTTACAGTATTATGTTATGTATTCATATTACAATTGGTCTAGTATGTTATCAAACACACAAAAATCGTTTTCATCCATTTTATCATTGCCCTAATGCTACAATAATTCTTTTGTTCAATCGTGGTTTTCTAGAGGGCTAATTTCAATATCGATATATGGTATTGTACTCTAACATTTCATTTTAACTAACAATTTTATTAATTTACATTTTCATGCTATTCCTCCCCAAACAAGCAAACATTCCTCCATACAAGCCACATTCTTGTACTTTATTGGCAATGATAATACTTTGTAACATATTAGAAACCGTGCATTCGAATTAAAATATACAGGAAACAAATATGTTAATGTCTTAACATGTAAATGTTATAATTTTAGTGGTTGACCTGCAGAAATGTCTAAACCTATTGTCTAATTTTACAAATGCTTACATCTTACTATCAACGTCAAATAATTATTAATTGCTGTACTTTTATTTTGTCGCCTTGATATTTTTGACAATTACTAAGAATCCCTAAGAGCTATCTTAAAATAAAATTTATTTAAGTTGTGCAGATTTTTAAATTCATATTTACTGAAAACCACAATTATATATGGCTATCTCATACACTCCTGGCTAATTATTATTATAATATTCAGTTGTAATACAAAGGATTAAATACCTTCTTAAAGCTATTTCCAAATCACCTAAAAACGAATTTCAAATACAACTGCTATGAATGTTGAATATGTCCTGTACTTTCCTATTCACATGAAAACCCAATACTACAAACTCGTTTCCGATGAAGAGCCACCATTTAGTTCAGATATTTGACCAAATTATGCAAATTTAAAGCGGTGGTCATAACAACATTTTGTATGAGCATAATATGGAATGTTCTAATGTATGCATGTGAAATGTCTTCTAGACTAGCTGTGGTTGTTACACTGCTTTAGTTGAATCCACTTATACCAACATTAACTACATTAATAAAAAAACTTATGACCCCAGAAGCCTTATTCAAATCATTGGCCTCCTCCTTTTCCTCCTCATCTTCCATGTTCTTCCCCATGGCAACCAAGCTCAAAATACCATTGATGACTTGTAGTACAATTGAGAGAACCAAAAATGTGAATACTGCCCAGAAGAACATGTGGCCAGCTGCACCGGCTATGACCAAACTACGAAGACTGGTGCAGTTTCTTGTTAATAGGGCAAAATCGGTCAATCCGGCGGACACGTTCTTTGTTGTAGAGAAGCTGGCTGGGTTGAATTTTGTTGTCTTTTTGGCAAATAAGCCTTTCTTTTTGGCCGGTTGTCCACTTGGTCCTGCTCCAGTTCCCGGACTAGAGGCTCCAACCAGAGGGACATTATCATCAACTGTAACAGCTGTTGCAGCAGTTGAATCATATCCCTCTCCCTGTCAATGTTAAACAGACGAAATACATCGTGTTAAAACGTATGAATCGTAGTTATGTAAATATGTTGCCTCTAATTATAATCTCACTAATAATTAATGTATTTAATCTATATTAATGGTTTACTTAATTCCACACATTCAGAAATGAAGTGCAAGACTGTTATATAATTCTATAACCAACACAGTCATCTGGGTATGTTCAATTTATTGTTAAAGTTTGATAAACGTGTTTTTATGTCAAAATGAATGAAAAACATGTTATTAGATTATTTGTTACACACGAACAACGTACCTGACTCGGATCTAGGTATTTCATTTCCACATTGTCATTGGCTGTCATTTTCACATATAATACTCACAGCAATTTGCTCGGAAGGCTGATTTTCTCAGTGATAACAACGTTCCAACGTCCAATTACGCTCCCTATGACACAAACACAAGCTTCAACATAAAAACGTCTCTAGATGACAAGCGTCATAAAACGTCGGATATTTCTGCGCATGTTAATCTGCTTGCGTTTGGAGATTATACCAAAGCGACGGGAATAGAAAAAGAATAAATGCATGAATGCGCAGCTTAAATCGATAACAAACAATAACCTAGTTCCGTTCACAAATTGCAATGTTGGGATAGCAAAATAATAGATCTAGTAAAGAATGGCCCTTAAATTACGAGTAAAAAACTTCAGCTTCAAATTGGAAGGATATGTTCTTTTAATGTCAAAATATTTCTTAATTCTATGTTATAGCAGTAGTATCAATATTGCCTTCAATATTCAGATAATCGACAGTTTGCGTATTGAAATAAAACGATTATTTGAAAAAATGAACATTATTTGGAATAACACAAAGTATGTACACAATATTAGAGCAGCTACGAGTGTATCACGAGTGCACGTTTTATTTTGTTTATTTTTTGATGACAGATTATGATTTCTACTGGTAGTCTTTTTTCTATTTACCGCTGTCAAATACGTCCCTAAACATTTAGAAAAAAAATATTCACCTCCACCCATCCTTTATCCTCCGTCATTTTAGTCTAAACATTTAGTCTAAATTATTGCAATTACAATTGTCACTACTGGGAGAATACAAGCAGCTATTATAATAATAACACTATTTTAGACCGGTATATCGACGGTTGATTTTATTTCAATATGGAACTTATCATTTTCATGCATGTGTAGTAGGAAGTTCATCCACAAATGTGACAGTTGATTAGATTTCAAAGATGCTGTTATGAAATTGCACATGTTAATGTTGTCTGTCGTAGTTTCAAAAATCAGTTATAAAATTTCATCTTCTTCCGTAATGATCAACATATATTGAAGATTTGTTCATAAAATAAATCAATTAGTATCAGCTTCATGATATACGCATATTCTCTGTTTTTGTTGTTGTTGGGGGTGGGGTGGCTGGTTATTTTATTCAGTAAATTAACCTAATTTTGACTTCTACATCAGCTCTAGAAAAGATAGATGGCTCATACATATTTTAACATTGACTTTTAATTTTGTTAGTCCCCGTTCAGGCGCATCGGTCTCGTAAATTTTAAAAAGAAACTAGAAGCTAGGGATGAATTATTTCTTACAAGTGATCTGTAATTTTGATTTCCAAACCTGAATATCCGAAATTGGTCCTTTTTCATGATTTTCATCCCCAATCACCGATTGAAAGCCTGTGCATGTTATTATCCTTTAGTATAATTATATTGTGCATTGCTTATTGTTATTCACATGCACATTACATTTCATGATATTATATACTTCCAACATTATCAAGTTTGACTGGCGTGGCGTATCACAGCCAAGGGAATGAATATTCATTGTGTTGTTTACGCACATTGTGCCGTATTGCTACATTTGTTGCTACATTTGTAGGTGAGGTAAATATTACACCGTAAACTATTTTTTTCTTTTTCAGCAAATTCAAATAAAAAATGAAATTGATAACATTTCTGTTATGTAAAATAATTACCAGCTAATGGTGAATCAACTGTGGCTCTATATAACATGCATATCTACCATTTATGATGGTTTTAATCTGTACTAGTATCTAAAATGAAATAGTTGTTGTGTAAACTGTTGGGCTAAATATTTATGTATCAGTATACTGTGTTTGATCTATTAGTAGTGCATGTGCCTATATAATATACAGAAGTGTTTCCATGGTTACAATCATAATTTAATGGTTCAGTAACAAATGCAGTGTTTTGTTTATATGTGCTTCTAATAAAGCAAATATTGCCAGTCATTGGTTTTGCATTTATAAAATACATGTAGACAAAACTGTATTCTATTTTCATCTGTGTTCTTTACCGGTAGTTTTATGCATGTCGATGATAACCTCTTTGCCATGTGAGGAAACATAATTCAAGCACATTATAATATCACTCATTAGAAAGACAATTATACAATTATTGTTACTACTACGCCAAGGTTTATACATAGCAATACTGTCTTCTTTGAAGAATCTGGACTTTCTTAAAAATATTTCTGTGTATTTACAACAATTTGTAACAGCTGTAAATAATAAATACTGTTTAATAATATATCCTATTGTGCTTTAAAGAAATGTTCTTTGTACAATATGATGGTTCTTTTACCTGGAGGCGTTATAAAAACAAACTCAGGCTCTGCATGTACAGAAAGATGAATTAACATGTCAAGAAGATATTAAGGATACTGAACGGATTCCCTTGATATATAAATACACTCTTCAAAGCAAGTACATGCCTTACGTGCTTAGTTGCTCTATTATGCTCTTGGATTCTGGTCACTAGTCAAAGGAGCTCTTTAGTTATCAGTAAAATATTAGGTTATAGGACTTTTTATGGTGAGATGTATCTACATAGATATACTAAATACAGAATCATACACCTACTTGCAGATTTTAAGAATTAAGTTTTTCAAATTGAATTTCATCAATTTCTGGGTACACCAGGTTCGCCATAGTTTGGTTGCCAGTAAAGTGTGTTACAGATTAGGAACCGCTATGTCAACTCCTGCTATTGTGATGACAATAACATAGGTATATTTTGTCAACTATATTCAACAAGTACTCGATAGGAAGGAACTAAGTCATTCAGGTATTATTAAACACCACAGACCTAATAGTTCAATAACAGACGTAGACTGGCAAAGTCAGGACTTCTTTTTTGTTTTACAAAAAGAAAAAAAATACTTGTTCTTTTATTCCCTTTAGCGTGATCGCGAAAACTAACCTGGCCGCTAACGAAATCCCGACTGGACGCATCTGCGGGCATTTAACTGCTATCAATTATTCATGATGTGGGTGTGAAAGTAAACGTGACCTTTTAAAGGTTGATTCGATTCGATCGCAGAGATGGGTACTTTTTTAAGTGCAACGGCGATACTTTCATCCATGTTTACTGAAAACAAGTCGATTTAAATGTCCAATGTATATAAGTAGTCTTTCAAAATCGCCGGGATCTCAGAAGTGAAAGGTCACGATAATTAACATGATAAGTGATGACGTACACAGCTTCACTCTGATTCGTTGTCAATGCTAGTCAACATCTTAATTAGCATATTCACCGGAGTGATTCCGCTCCGGTTTTCACTCCAGCGTAGGGGGTCGCCTGCAGATGCGTCCGGTCGGGATTTCTTTCGCAGTCACGCTAGTTTTCGCGATCACGTTAAAAAGGCTAAATTGACAATTAATTATATTTTTGTAAAACAAAAAAGAAGTCCCGACTTTGCCAGTCTATAACAGACGGTGTAACACTACAAGCCAAATAAGCCAATTGGGTAAAGGTCAATTGTTGATTTGACAGTTGGTTGAATGAATAGTCTGATTAAGTGAGTGATTAAGTTGACACTTTGTAGTTTTACGATTATATGAAACACATAAGGGGAGCTATCTTCGTAAACCTCGTGCATCTCCATGGCACAAGTAAGCCAGTATGAAATAGAACAACACTATAATAGTCATTGTCTTGCACTATCTTACAGCATGTACCCCTTGCATTACAACAATCGCTGGTTGGTATTGTTTTATGACGTCTACTCATGAATATGTAAGCACACCCAAGTGTATAGAAATTGATCACCTCACGTAAACAGACCCAGCAAAATGACATTAAGCCGGTGATAGACACTGGTATGCGAACTAACAAGTAACAACTGATTAAAACAGCGCACATTTTTATGTTGGCACGGAATAGCTGTATGGTTACATGACGTTGATAATTTCGTATACAATTCTACTGCAAGTCTTGTAGACTCACTTTGTTTGTACACCTAGATGACGCAATTGGCGCCATGTACATATCATTGAGTAAAATATAAAGTATGAGTCATTGAACAGTTTTGTAACTAGGTAACAATTGAATTAATTGCAGCTCAAACATTTTAAAATTAAAGTGTGAGTGGTTATAATTATGATTCTTTGGACAGTTTTGTGATTAGATTGAATTATTTAGTTAAACAAGAGTGATTTATTGTTAAAAATGTAACAGACATAGAGACATAGTTAAAAAACAATTGAAATAAAACTAAAAAAAACACAAAACTCTTAATATAAATATATTAACCATTAATTGAAGTACAATAACAATAAGCTGAGTATTTCTCCCACTCTGACACTGTTTTTATAGACTTAAAAGTTATATACATGTACGTGAACAGCACACAAACAATCGGAAATAAATGTCTGAAGAGTATAATGAATCAAAAAGAATATGCAAATTGTGAAAACAAAGCACATACATCTCAATTTGAATTCCTGGGTCCCCAATATGAGAGAGAAAGTTCAATTTGTGATAACGAAATGTTAGATAGTCACAATGTTAACACAATAAAATACACATCAACTTCACCAGAAAGTAATTTTAATAATCTCGTTTTAGTAGGTTAATTTACAATTACAATACAACTAATTTGATATTGTTTTGCAGTAAGTGGAGTGGAGTCGGGCGTGGAGTTTTATTATTGCTGTTAAGAGTATCCTGTTCTCGAGAAATAACAAGGCGTGAAGCGTGTATTTGCATGGCATCCACCGATTTATATCTACTAATAAATATAACATTTTGTGACAATGAACCTTTCTTATAATATCGCATTTCTAAAACCAAGCAGCAATTAGGCACAGGATTTTTTGTGTGGAGACTAGTTCCTAAATATCATTTTCAACTAAGCACATGTAAATGAACAGAATATATGTATTAGAATTACGCGACAACTAATGGTATTATTAACTGCAATGTGCTAATACAGTGGCGGATCTGGAGGGG